ACATCACTATCTCAAATCTTCCTATGTGGCACGTGTTGGTACTGACCAAACCGGTGTTGTTATTGTAGACACGTAACACAGTCACGTAATCCTTACTTGAAACACGAGTCTCAATCGAACAGATCGTTTTCACCTAAATATCGTAGTTGGCTATTGATGCGCATATTACGAAAAAGCTAAAAAATACTAAAAATACGAATATTCATATATATCTTAGAAATCATTTTGACTACCTAGCTGCTTTCTCTGTCTAATAATTTAATACTTGCAACATTTCCGATAACAGAAAGAGAGAGAAAGAGAGAGAAAGAGAGAGAGAGAGAGAGAGAGAGAGAGAGAGAGAGAGAGAGAGAGAGAGAGAGAGAGAGAAACAACTTATTTTGTTTTGTTCAATTACATTTACAGTGACCGTGTTTCTTTTCGCCTGGAGGGTGAGACATCAATTTGGCGCGTAATTATTACGCGGACGATTACGCGCGGGGAAAAAAGAACCATTTAGCGATTAATGTTGTGATCTAGATGTTAATAAAATCATAGAAAGCGCGTCAGCCAGCCGATAATTTAGGAGCTTGATACTCGCAGTGCATCACTCGGGCAGTGATTAATGGCACGCGCAATTGTTGCTGATGCGCAACGCTAAATGCGTCGAATCGCAATTCGCTGATTAATCAAGGTACCGGATTGCGCTATCAAACTGACGAGTAGAAATCGTAATTTCCGCTTGACTTTGACACGAAACGCGAACGGTTTGCGCTTTCAAGTGTATCAAGTGCGCGATGCAGCGCTGTCCCAATTATGGGTGCGAATGGGCACGTGCGGCGGCGAAATCGATACTCGTCCGTCTACAATTCCGTCTCTACATGAGGATCAGCGAAATGGGCCAAAGAAAATTAGCGGCAACAGGATGCAACGATGCGAGCGATGAAGTTCCAAATATAACGCGAACGCCGATTGAGGGGACGCGGGCGCGATCTTCATCGTTTCGAGCGCTTTTAATTCGACAGGTCGATGCGCGATGTTATATATTTCGCGATTGAATATCGCATATTCGACACAAGGTTGGATCTTCGAAAAAAGAATCAATAAAAATTAATTGATTTTTTGTTGACAGTTATACGTTTCAAAGATCGCTTTTTTTCGCTCATTGTCGAGTTTGCGCTCGATTTTCTATGTACTCGCGCTTCCAAGAGTAATCTGACTCGAGTGTAATCTCGTATGAAATAAAAGTTCGGCAGACTCTCGGTGGTTCTGAAGAGAGAAGGCGCGCTTCGAATAAATCTCAATAAAACGATACGTTAACAACTTCTACAGAAAAGACTCGGAGTAATTTGTGAAATGTACGGAGTATTATAAAATCGTCCAAGACGTTAATCTCGGATTAGTCTGCCGAACAATTAGACAATTTCCCTGTCTAATCGGTATCGGTGGTCGATGCCTCGAGATTTGGCCGACCACCTGTCGCGCGAATTACGACCTCCGGAAGATTAATACTGCGAGCGTGTGGTCGTCATCGATATATGGCGCGGAATCGAGCTTTGCAACCAAGAAGCCGTCTCTCGGTTTCCACGCTCACATACACGGTTTTCGACCCACGTAGGCGTCGTTTTCGCCAGAAAGGTAAACAAGAGTTTACTCGACCATAAAACGCTGCTGTTCTTGCTCCGTGTCCAGTGGCGGATCTAATAAATTTTTCTATTTCGCAGAGCAAATAGAAGACACATAAAAAAAGACACGTAAAAAAGTTCTTTCAAATTCTTCTTGTTATTTAAACAGCGATTTATCAACAGTTCATTTACGAGTAAATTAAAAGATTCAGATATTAAATTAAGAAAGAACGACATTCTTTTTATGAATGAATACATCTTATAAGTTATAAATCATAAGTTGCAAAAAAGGCAAACTGTTAATCGTTATATAATTAATTTTTAATCGTCTTTCGCGAAATTTGCTATTATCCTTATAACTCCGGAAATTTGTCGGTACATGCCTTTTTGTCAGGAGATTCTTTCGATTAGAGAAGGCGAAAGAAAAGTGCAGAGAATGATTAAGGGATGTCCCCGAGGCGGATCTGGTAAAAAGAAGGGTAGCGTAATACATCGAACGGTGACACTTTTATGGCGTCGTGAACGGGGAAATGTGGTTTCTCTTGATAGATAACACTCCATAAATATTAAATAAACGTCAGTCGTCGCGCGCGCAAAGTGAGATTTGACGGTCTAGATAAAGATCGATATTGTCACTTGCCGACAACAGAGTTTATTCCATTTACCGGCTGTCACTTTTATTAGGGGGGGGGGGGGCTGTTTACGGCGAGCGCTGTGTGATCTGTAGTATGCACTATTACGGAGTTAATGGAGAGGGATGAACAATGATCTGGATGTGTCATCAAAATAAACGATTTGCCACGCGAATGGTTGCGATATCAATAAATTAATATTTGTCGACACGCTTTTATAACGTGTTAAAAATATATGAGGAAATAATGTTAAATATCTGTCTAGATATCTATATATTTGTATGTAAATATTTTTAGATATATTTAATATTATTTATAAATAATATTAGATATATATATATATATGTATGTAATATAAATAAAGTAGTATAAAACGGCTTATAATCAAGAGGATCTCTTACTTCTTTTGGAAATTTTCAGCTGAATCCTTCGAGTACCAACTATTTTATGTTGACTTGCAAGATGATCTTGAAATTTGCATTCCTTAACATCTCGTACGTTTTACATATACGCGATTTTTCGCAGACATCCAACGTCTTCCGCTTCGACGAACTCGAGAACGGCTTCCGGCGCTACTTTGTACAATGCAAACTCATGCGGAGAGGTCGGCGCGGATCACAAGTTTTGCGTTTCACGAATGTAACGAATGTTAGAAAGAAGGCAGGGAGTTACGTGCCGCGGATCTCGCGGAACTTTGCGCTTACCGGATTAACTGTCGAGTTCAGAAACGTTGGAAACTCGGCGCGTAAGTATAACGTCGAGTTTGTAAGTCTGATGCGGCGCGTCCAAAGCGACCAACACCGGACGAGGTTTAGCCGATCGAGAGATCGGTCGGCAACGAGACGATATCGCGGAATTGAATATTCGAGAATTCCAAGTTCGCGTGCTAACTTGAAAATTGTAAATTCTCAGGAGAGAAGGAGAGAAAATCGATGTTGAACTTGTATTCTCAATGTTTCCCTTTTCCATTCGTTTCCGGCGAAGAACGCGTTCGGCATTTTGCGTCGAAAAAATAACGACAGTCAATCGGAAATCGTTCCCTGCCAATTCGGCGAGGCCCGCTTCATTATCCCGCGTCGACACGAAGGCACGAATCGCACGTGGGCCGCGGGTGGATTGAGTTTACCCGCGTGCTCAATCAACTCGATGAACGCACGATTACGTCGTGTCATGCTTCGCACGCGCGCCTCCAAACAAAGAAAAATTCTCGCGACGCAAAAGTTATTATTGACATTGACGTTCGTTACCGTTGCGACGGTCGAGGAATTAAATTGAGAATTAGGTCGCGCCGAATCGCATGCGTTCGCATTCGTGCGCGAGACCGCAAATTGGCAGGCGATAGCAGCCGCCGCGCCGGTGAGTTTCAAGAGTAAACGAGCTTATTGTCAGTCTGACAGGGTGACGCGAAATGCAGGGACGGCGCCGACGGTAGCAACGCGAGAAATTAACGAGAAATTAACACGTTTTCTCGCGCGGGATACGTCGATGCGCTTGATTACGGCTATTAGCGGCGTGTCATCATCGCGGATCCCCCAAGTCATTCGTCATTTCGCGATCGAGGACAATCCTGCGTGGAGAAAGAAAATACTCGAGGTTGCGTCGCTAAAATTACATTTGCCCGCCGGATAAAGCACGCGCCGGCGACTGCCGTGATGCCATGCCGCCTCCCTGCGACAGTTTAATTGAAAGCTTCACACGTGCTGTTTTCCGTGAGCGCGCGTGTTTTTATATACGGACGCAACCTCGCGGTCTCTCGTCTCTCGACAGGGACGAGGGTGTCATTTAACGTGTAATAAATATAACGTCAGGTGTATTAATATTGTGTCAGCTGCGACGCTTTGCGGCGCGAGTCCTCCAGATTCCTCTGAATAATCTGTCTTTCAATAAATTTTTTTTTTTTTCAATTTAAATTTCAATACTTTTAATTTCGATACTTTATTACTTGTATCTTTTGACAGCTTTACATTGAAACTTGTAAACGAACTGAAATGAACGTGAGTGAAATCTCGAATGTGCCTTTGTGTTATACAAATATTTGCCGATGGAATTTCAATGCTGTAAAAATATTAATCTACGAATATACGTACGTGTTTAAACTGTACTCATTTCTATTTCCATTTCAAAACCTGATTTGAAGGAAATTGTATTTTAAAGGATGACATATATAAAATCCGATATGTACCTATAACGATCAGTACTTCTCGTACTTTATCGGATTATTGTAGAAGTAATAATTATGAGAACTTTTATAGCGCCTCTCTAAAAATCGAAATGTTAAAAGCGTGCTTCGTTAAAAGCGGATTTGCAATTGGATTTTTTTTTAAGTCGCGCGCCAATGTGTACCCCGTAATAACTTAGAATACTTTAATATCGATTTCAGGGAAGCTTGCTAGTAAGCGTGCGGGACACGCCGTCCGTAACATTCGTATTGGAGGCTTAAATCTAATCCCAAGGATGCATCGAGTTCGATAGGCCGTCCTGACGCGACTCGCGTATGCAGAGCACGTATAATGGAATACCCGACGGGGTTTCGATCGAGAGCCAATTACCGGGACTACCGGGAGCAATCGAACGGGTGCGCGGCACGGTGGCCCGGCAACCCAGTAAACTTAACCGCAGGATTTAAACGAGCGCGGCCGCGGACGCGCATTGTATTTAAGGCGAATCCATTCGTGAATCTGCGAGGCCGTCCGCCTCGAAATTGCCTCCGTCGTTTCGTTCAAATGGGACGAGAAAGCTGGCTACGGGCGACATTCCCATCCCGGAATCGAGATCCCGCTTTATCTATCGCCGCGGATGAGTCGTATAGTCGAGGAAAAGAATTTTACTGCAGGTACTTACCCGTCCGCCGTGTTGTGCGCCAGGAAGGACTTGGGCAGCGATAAGGATCGCTGATGAGGATCCAGGACGATGTCGCCTGTATGCGAGTCTTCACCTCGGGTGGGCGCGCTGCCAGGCCTGGAGAGCGTGCCGTCCTTCGGTGGCTCTATCAACGTCTTGAGCGAACCGATCACAGCATCCTCCATCGGCGTGGACGCACCGGAGCTCTTTGCGTTCCGCGGGCTCTTCGTCACCGTGCGATCCGACGTGGTGATCCAGATATCGCTGCTCGAGGACGACGAAGTGTTCGTCGACGAGGAGACGACCGGACCGCCACTAGGCGATCTATTGACGACATTCATCCCTTGGATGGGCGACACCCTCCTATCCTTGCTGTCAGCGCCTTCGAAGGAGCCCGGGAAGTCGGGCTTCCGGTACACTCGGTGGTGCATCTGATCTCTTTTCTCTGCTCCGGAGCCTGCTTTATAGAAAATGTTAATATAGATGTAATATAAATTATTCCACTTATTAGACATTAAAATAAAAACTTTTCTTAAAAAAAAAATACTTTTCTTAAAAAAATAAGACATAATATCTGTCAATTTAAAATAAGAATCCGCTTCTACGATTGTAAGAATTCAGGGTGGGATAAATTTTTTGTTAATCGAACTATTACGGACCATTCCCGTTGGTTCCCTCCAACGGCGACCATCTATTGCCCTGTTTGAGCACGCTCTTGGGTCTCTCTTGATACTTGCCCTGCTGGCTGCTTCTGCTCTTCCTTGCGTTGTCTCTTTCGCGAAGCTCCCGATCATCCATTCGCTCGAGGGAGGCCGGCGAGGAGCTGGCACTTCCACGATGGCTGCCAGCGTCGGTGGAGAGCCTCTGATGCGCCGGATAGCTCTGTGACAGCTTCATAAAAACGGGCGGTGGTGCCTGATTCGGCGAGTACAAGGTTTCCCTTTGTGAGCAGTGGGGCCAAAAGTCGCATGTGCTGCTGTTGCAGCGCAGCTTTGTGTCTGGGCTGATGGAAAAGTCTTGATTGGCGGACGGTGCGTTCGTATTTGGTGTCGTAGCGCCTCTCTGCAGCATTCGCGGCCGCCTTGATTGTTGCTGTTGTTGCTGCGACTGCTGCTGCTGCTGCTGTTGTTGTTGGGACTGCGAAGAATTCGATGTTTTCGACTGCTGCTGCTGCTTGGAGGAGATGATGTAGACGTCATATGTGTTGGAATTCCCTCGCCTCTGCTCTTGGCTTTCATCGCGACGGTTCTCATAGCGGCTTGACAACAAATTTCTCGGCACAACGCGACTACGCGTGCCATACAGGTATTCGGTCACCATCTCCGTTTCGCGGAAAAGATTCTCATTTATGGTGTCATCTGTGGACTGAGCTTTTCCTAAAGAATTTGGGGAAAATGATCGAATACGGGGATGAGATTAATTTGATCGATTCGCCGACATGATGATCGATTTTTTTTTTTCAAAGATATTTTTTTGCGTTCGGTTAGATTGCCAGACTTTATGTAATAAACATTTGATTTCTAATCGTTAATCTTTTAATGCATTTTTAAAATATTTCATAAATTTTCTGTTCTTTTTACATTTTTTATGTTTTACAAAACTTTGTATTGTTGATCTTTTTGTGAAATGTGTGAAAAATAGATATAAATACATTTTTTAAAAATAAATATAAGAATAAAAATAATTTATCATAAAGATTTAAAGAATTTCCTGCATATAATAATTATCTCTTTATCGAGAACACGAGGTTTATAAAAGGTACGCTTGCGTACATTTATTCTCCGTGAATTGTAATTATTCGATACACATATGCAACAGCGAAAGTTAAAACGTAAGATATCCATGGTACTCACTGTTTTGAAGAACATGGCGCTTGGATCTGTCGCTACCCCGATCATTCACAATCTTAACAACGACTCTGTGTGCTTCATTCGACTCTCGGGAATGATCTCTCTGCGGACCCGTCGTTCCTGGTGACCTTTTCTCCGGCAATTGGAGGCTCCTGGATCTTCTAACTCGAGATTCATGACAATCGGGCGTTTCCTGATTGACCCTGGCGCTCTGATGCTGTCGCGTGGGATTGCCACGTCTGAATGGATTAGGCGTGGGTGATCGCCCTTGTCGTCCCTCGCTGCTAGACGAGGAAGACGACGAGGAGGGCGAATTGAACATCTGTTTTCCCGACTCGGAGGAACCGGGTGACCTTCTAAGCCCCTGTTGGTTTCTATGGATTCTCCTAGACATAACACTTTGGCATTTCATTTTCACATAACATCGCAAAACACTTTGTTGTGAAATATTAAATTAACTTTTTCTTTTAATGTATAAAATATTAATTAAACAAGAGTGGAAATATGTGAAAGTAATGGCCTCAAATATTCGCGCATTGTACGAATTAAAAAACCGATAGAGGAAATATTTACAATTTTGACTGTCTTCTACGTTAAATTTCTATTTTTGTAAGAATTTCATAAGCATAAGTTTTCATAAGCATAAGTTTATATGCATACCCTTGCCTGTTGGGCGATATTCGTTCGCCGTTGGCACGTATCGATTCTGTGGACGAATTCAACGCAAGAGCCGATGACGACACCAGACTGAGATTTAAGGATGAACTAGGATTATCATCCTCGTCGCCATCTTCATATCTAGTATCGAAAAATCGATATTTTGAATACACTGTATTTTTTTTTTAAGTTTTTTTTTTAAATTTTGTTAACGTTAACGTTTTATGTTATATTAATTTATATTATTATACTTATAATTCATATAGAATACAAATTAATAGATTAATAGAATAATAGAATACAATACGATGATTAATAGAGAGAATGTAAATGTTCTTGTTTATTTAACTCTGCTGCAATCAATGTTAATTATAAATTTAAATATTTATAATCAAGATTAAACGTGATTATTCTTAATTATTAATAAAATCAAGTTGGTTAACAGAATCGTTTATCATATAGATTTTACATACCCCTCTACCGAAGAATCCGTGTTCTCCGCAAGACTAGGCATAATGGGCTTTGTGACGCAACTGTCGAGGCTCCTGAATCCCATCGACGACGACGACGAGCTGGATGATTCAATATATCTCTGCGCGAATTGCGACCTTCTGGAGGACGATTGATCTTCCAGGGACTTGGCCTGTGCCATGCGATACTGCTGCTGCTGCTGGCTGGCGTTCTGTCTCTTCGATCTAGAGGACGCCAAGCCGGAATTCTTCCTGGACGCGGACGGTAGAGAGCTCCAGTTGACCTGGTGAGGTGGCGGCGACGGTGGCGGACTAATGATGTCGCTATCGACAATGGCATTCGATCGCGGTAGAAAAGGGGCCTTGCCGCCGTAATTGCTACGCACGGCAGCAGAGGACGAATGTCTGGAGGAGGAAGATTTCCTGCCGGCGACGGCGTCCTGGAACGCCGGCGGCGGCGATATAATCGGCGTAATCGACGGCGGGGAGAAGGACTCCGGGATGCTGTGCGGCGACGTGCAGGCGCTGGTAGTGATGGAATCGTAATCCTGGCTGTGCAGCGCGAGAAAGTCGGGTCGCTGCGAGTCCAATCCTCTGGTAAAGTCCTGCGGACACTTGCCCGGCTCGCTGTTACAATGATAGTCCGCCAACTTGACCGCCGTCCGTCGCGACAACGGTAGAGTGCCGGTGGTCGCGGTCACCAGGTTGCTCTCGTAGTTCGCACGGCGATTCTCGTCGAGTGACCGCTGCTGCACTTGTACCCAGCCGGAGCGGCCCAGGTAAACGCCGTCGACCTCGCGATCGCACCATCGCACGGGCGAGAGTTCGCGGCTGCAATTACCGCTGATAAACAGCTCGCCGGAAGTGCCGCTATTGCCCGACAGGAAGGAGTTTACGGCATCGCGTCGACGGGAACTAGAGACCTGCACAGGGGAGAATTCTCGTCGCTAATAGACATCCTAAGTGTCGTACCAAATCTCATAGCGTCACGTACACTTCATCACGTTGATTTGTATTTGAACAACACTCTACTGTGATAAATTTGGATAATGCGACAATTTAACTCCGGAAAAAAAGAATAACATTAATTTATGTTTATAAAGTTAAAAAGTTAGAACGTGCACCCATGTACATTACTTCCCATTATAGTCTTCTCCATAATATTTAGAACAAAAGTTGATTGTATTATATTATAGAATAAATCATATAGAGCCGTTTCCGCAAATATTAATCACGCTAACCGTGATTTAAATGATTCTCTTGTTAAAGCGGTACTCGGCAGAAACTCATTTAACTTAAATTAACATTTACTGCGACGATCCATAGAATCGTTTTTTTTTCGCGAACTTCCGCATAAATTTGACCTCCTACTTCCAAGCTCGCGGATGAACTGGCGCGGGCGGAATGTTTCTGACGTTTCCGCGATTTCCTCACCTGACCGTGGCTGTCTTGGCGATGCTGCTTGAGGCTTGACGTCGGCGTGGCCGACGTAGATGTATCGTGACGTTTTAGGGATGGTATCGAACTACCGCGGCTGTAGGATCCACGCGCGTTCCCGCCGGATTTCCCTCTGCCGCTCGCTGTCTGACTCTTGTTGCTGCCGACGCTGTACGAGGAGCCTTGAGAGCCGACCTCCCAAGGGTCCGCCGAAGCGTTTCGAAGATGGAGGATCGACACGTTTGGACCTCTGCAACCGAAATTTGCCTCTTTTCGAGAACGGTTCCGTGTGTGGTGCCAAGAATAATAATTCTTACGCCACATATATAAATGTTTACTCTTCAAATAAGATTTATTTGACGTTTATGTGGTTCATGCGATTGATGTGATTGCTGTCAATTAGTATCGACGAGACAGAGCTTGTCGAATATAAAATTTTTACTCTTTAAAGATATTTAATAATAAAAAAAATATATAAAATAAAACAATGATATTCGGGAAGTAAAATTTAACTTTTTCATCTTATTCAATTATAAAGGAAAACAATCGCAGTTCTCTTTCGTTTATTGTAGCTCCTCAAATATTAGTTAATTTATTTAATTGATTTTATGTTAACACGCATCCGATCTTAATTCAACAAATTTTATAAAACTGCGCAATCTTTTCTCTTCGCGTGCCTCAGCATCGAGATCGAGCAAGCTGAAACTATAAAAAGTTCTTTCTTCGCACGGTTGTTCGACCTCTTTTTGATTTGCTATCATCGAATCCAGAATTTTGCTTTACTTCGTTGGAAAAGGAAATCGACTCGCGGTGCACTTTAGCATCTCCGGGGATTTTACGCGACAGTCGGCACAGTTGGAAGCCTCGCGTTTCCGCCGACGTCTTCAAGTAAGATAGATGCAGTCGTTTTTGCTTGTACACGTTCCCGCGCATCCGCATCTTTCTCACGCGTGGTATTTTTCTCGCTTCTCTTTCCCATTCGACGATATTTATATCATGCTTGATGTTGCAGCCATAAATATTTATACAGTGATACACAAAAAAAAGAAAGAGAGAAAGATAGACGAGAAGCCTGAGCGAAGGTGCATCCAGGTTGTGCATCGCGTGAACTTGTATGCCGGTTAAAAATCCGCGGTGAATGGATGAAAACCAGATACCTAGGTGGTCTTTCTCAAGAGTAGATGCAAATCTCTCAAATTTCGCGGACAAATGCATCCCCGGCTGTGTTTCTTATCTTCGTACCTCGCGGTTCAGATCTTCTTTTTCCGTACCTTTCGTTGCGCGAAGAAAATTTTTACGTACGACAAGATGAAATTATTTCCACACGAGTTGAATTAATAAGAAAGACATGTGCGCGCGAGCTTCGGTCTCGCTGTACGAATTCCTCTGGAAAGCGAATAAACTGAGAGTAGATATGATCGATATTTTCACATGGTCTAGACTAGAGGAGGTTCAAAGTCGCCCATCGGAGATTCAATCGTCTTTGCCGCCTGCCGTGATTAGCGCGTGATCAAAGAGATCGCAAAAAGACGTTTGCGAAAATGAAATTCTCCTCGAAGGGCTTTCGAGTCAAAGTCCCGATGCCGCTGTATTAGACGCAATTTTGATCCACCGGGCAAACGCGAAATTAACCGCCTGAAAGCGCCTCAAAAGCTTCTAGTCGAGAGAGTCATCGCGATTTTACGAGGGTCCTGAACTTCATTTGACGGAACGCTGAAAAGAGTTGTCGATGATTCTTTTCAGACAAATACGATTCGTTGAGAATTTATATGAGCAGCTCGACATCCGAGGCGTGTGATTTATGGAACTATTAATTAATTCGGGCTAAAGATAGGAACGGTGAAACTAGGTGACAAAGCGTATTTCGGATACTCGCTGCGAATAACCTGTCGTCGATATCGCTCCACATATGGAGTTGACGAAACGCGCGGAACAAATCAATTGGGGACGGGAATATCTGTCCCCGATTAATCATATTTACCTTTTAACCGACATGGCACGAAGAGTCGTTCGTTTCCTTTGATAGTGCGATGTCTTAAATAGAACCGCTCTTTAAATAGAGCGATCTTTTGGTCCGAGTAAGAAAACGGTGAGATGGAGTGATCACCCTCTCTTTTAATCCATATTGCCGCGTACGTTTGCGTCAATATATAACCACATTGAACGCTGCGAAATATTTCTCGTGTGTCACACGTTTTTATCCATCTTTACTTTTTATCTGTTAAAATCGATCGCATGATAATACAGCGATTGCTGTCGCTATATTTATTTACGAGTAATGATGGAAACGTCTCGCATGAAAAAGACAAATCTTTTCTGCATCTTGTATCTTCTCGTATGAAATTTGGTACTTTTAATATGTACTTTCAAATGTTTATCGTGCGGGATATTCCTGAAAAACTCCAGTTGTCCAGGGAGTCACAGATTAATAGACAGACAATCGGCCTTGAGAACGGCCGACGTCACTCTAGATTTGGTATTTGACCGATGAATTTTACATTCTCTCGTGTAACCAGGTCACTCTCGGGCGAGTATCCGAGTGCAGGAAGAAGTAGCATGAGAGTAGTCCTCGCGATGGTCCGTTGGGCTTCATGAAACTTACATCGTATGTAAACACCAGCAGCATCTAGAGGGAATCTAGGCGGAAAGGACAAGCGCACGAACAAGATAACGTTCGTGCGAGTGTCTCCGTCATTCCCATACGACAGTCACGCTAACTTCGCGAGATCCGAGTTGGATGTCTTCTTCAGCGACGAAGGTGTTTCACCACGTCGACGTTCCGTACGACACGTACGATTTCCACTGCGCGCGGTAACCATGCATTCACAAAATCTTTCCAAATTCGCAATCAACTTTTCTAAATTTTTCAATTTGCCGTCTTTACTAGCTGTTTCAACTATCGAGCCAAAAGCAGCGCGCGATACCACTAGTTGTGGAGTTCACAGAACATTTAGGACACGCCGGGACTACTCTCCGATGGCGGCGAGTAGTTTAAATAGAAAAGCGATAGACGCGATATTACCTGTCGACACGCGAGATAGGACCTGCGTTGGTGATCTCGCTCGTATCCGCGGCCGGACTGACTCTGCGCGGCGGCAGGGCGGGAGGCGCGGCTTGACCGGGGGCCTGACTCGAGGACAAGGTCGAAACGGGCCCTCCGACGCCCACGTTGCCCCCACGTATCCCATCCTCGGCCGAGTGTTGTCTGGAGGATTGCGAGTTCTGCGAGAGCCAGCGGCGCCCGGCATTCCGCGTCACCACCGTGGGCCCGCCGGACCCCGGCTGATGACCTATCGCGCTCCCACTATCCAGCGACGTGCTCTGTAACCGAAATCCAAGGCCACTCTTCGTGGGCAGACAGAAAATCCGTGGGACGCGAATGAATCTGAGAACTACACATCTACGGATCTGTGAGATCAGACGAAAATTCCAATTCATTCTTGGGATTTTCCCTTGTTTATGTTTTGCGATTTAGCCAAGCAGACTTGAATTTTGATTTCACAATCGTATTCTATGCTATCTAGCACTTTTCTGGGAAGAAAATTTATTTTTAACATGCATTTAGAGTAATACATAACAAATTCCGCCTGGATCCGAGAGATATGTGTGTGTAGTCTTAGAATAATTATCACGGCAAGATTTAAGTACTCCTCTCTTGTATGCAGACTGCAGAGATTGTTATTAAATGATGATTAATATTCCCATGATTTTATAACACATTGTTCTCAATTTCCGAGGCATTCTTCGGGAGAGAAAAAATTTCTAAATCGGAAATCTCTGAGACGAACGTATCACGTCATAGCAGTAACAAAGTTTCCTTTTCTTCGACCGCTTTTGGTTTCCCTTATTAACCACGACTCGTTAACGGGCACCATTATCGCCCAGCCATGATCGTTATGAAATTGTGTCAATCGCTAAAGGGGGGCCCGCCGTGCTATAGGGCGCCATTACGTCGATCACGGACTAAACTCGCGTGACCATAAGAGCAGGAGAAGCTGTACGGCGGTCTCTACTTCCAAATACGGTTGAAGCACGTACGAACGACCGACGGGTTGGCGCAACTCCGCCGTGCGTCGAAGAAAGTATTTTTATTCTCGTCCTGCCCAAGAGGAGAACTCGTCCGTACGAGCGATCTGTCGCGATGACTCGAACTTCGAACGTGCGTGTCATTTTATTGACTTTTATTATTTCACACGACCCAATATCGCATTGACGTGCCGCCCGATTTTAGAACGTCTGTCAATTTATTTAAAATATTGCAATCGACCGAAACACATTCGGGAGCACATGACAAATAATTTCGCGAAATATATAGAGATCAACAAAAAAAGGATTTCGGTTTACTCCGGCCATAACGCGATTAAATAACGATAAAAAACGGCAATGTGTGGGATCGATGAAATTTTACAATTCGCGCGATTGTATCTCGGGGATTACGTACATTCACGTGATTTTTTCTGGACGTAACAGACGAGTCCTGCGAGGATCCTCTTGCGTAATGCCGAGCGAAGACCTCGGCGAGTCTGGATCTTCCCGAGCTCGTCGCATTTGACTTGGATTTACTTGGCGGCGAGCCATCGACGACGCCCACCAAATTCGGATTGCTGCTCTTGCGTTCCGGAAACACTAAGTGCTCGATGTTCGGCGTATATCCAGGATCGCTCCTGACGATATCCTGGAGCGTCACGCGGCTGGGTCCACCGTTACTGCAACGATTCACGCGTAATGTCAATTTTTGTCTACTAATTATAATTGTCAATAATGGCGAAATAATTATATTAAAAAAATATATAAAAGATTATATTCAGAGAAGATTCAAGCAGTCCTAATAAATTATTCTATCCAAATAAACTTTTTAACCCTTTATCCATTTACTTGTAATGAATTCTTTACATAAGTTCAGAAATTTTTTAACTAACCTGGGACCGAAGCCATGCCTCTGTCCACGTCTCTTCCCGCTGCCACGGCCAGGCTTGATGTTCGTCGCCTCGGCCAATTGCAGCAAACGGCTGCGATGCTGCCGTAACAGCGGGTCCTCCCGGCGAGGATTCATTCTATCCTGTGCACCTGGAATCTTGTCGCTCCTGCATCCTGGAATTGCCCAAGAAAAAGAAACAATGAATTCAGTGAAGGTTTACACGCCTGCTCTTTGATATTTTCTATTCGTGCAACGCAACCATACTTTTCGCATCGACAAAAACAATAATTGCTTTACTATTGCGGAGACAGAGAAAATGATTCTCTTCTCAGAATGGAGTATAAAGAATTCTTTTAAATTTTAGTAAAGTTAAAAAACTAGTAGAGATGTAAAGAGTTAACGTCGCAGGATTCTTATCAACACGTGTAAAAAGAGCGCAAGCTTTGAAAAATATTAATTAAAATTTCTATAATAATGTACACAGCAACAAACAGCTTAATGAAGTATGTCTTGCTTACAGCGCATTACAACAATTGCAGAAGGAAGAGTTCGCTTTTAATCATTCTTTCCGCAAGAATCGACTGACAATGAGAAGAGGAATTTACCACGAACATACACTGCTTGCGCTGCTTTTCGACGCGTCTTCTCTCCTTCACCTCACTTTGACACGAGAAGAGAAGACAGGATATATAACAAAGAAAAATGCTGGTACTCTTCATCGCCTTTAAAAACGTTCTTTCCTCTCATTTCTCGAAAACTTCGCGGTCCCTTCGCGCATGTAAAACGTCATAAATTCATGTTTCTCCGGAGGAGTGATTGTTTTCTTTCCCAAGTAAAATATTTTCAACGTTTGACTCCATTGTTCGAATAACGCTAACAAGGAAACCTCGCGAAATCAAAAATTCTGATTTTGATGAAACTTTACACACGTGTGAGGGAAAGGATAAAGTTTTTTTTAAAGGGGTAAACATTTACATGCGTATAAAGTTTCATCAAAATCAGAATTTTCTGGTAAAATCGACCGACGTGGAAAGCATATACTTTAATGCATATAGGTGCAACTTTAACTTTGAAGGAGGATTTTTAAATCCATAAAGCCAATAAAAAAATATGCGTATATATTTTTAAAAAGTCGGTAAATATTACGGACGGGTTTAGGATCCTGACTTGCATATATTTATTCGATATTTTCGTAAAAAAGTTTTCTAATTAAGGCTCGAGGAAAAGCTTCTAGTAGTTTCAGAAAAAGAGCAAGACGTCTATCACAACTCCAAGATGTCATTAAAATCGCGTATCTCATATTGGCTTCTCATGTTTTAGATATTTCAATATAACTTATAAACAACTACTTCAGAATTTCCTCCACGAAGATGCTGCGTATAATTGACAGTGCACGATTATTTTTAACGTAATTTCTTCACGCATTGCAGCCGGCAATTTTTTTTTACGACAAATGGCAATCCCGGCGTCAGCGCGTAGACGCCGTAAATAGTCAAAGTCGAAAACCGATAAACGCCCTTTCTGTTTCTCATATTTTTTTCAACGGTGTCGCGCCTAACAGAGCGGCAGTTCCAACAGAGCGCATTAAAATATCGACTATCGAAGAAAGTTCGGCGATGCACGGTCATGAATAGTTAGCCGCAAAAGCAACAATATGCATGACGAAAAATTTAATATCCGCGCGGCCGAAATTAACCGACGAAGCGAATATTTCGAACGTTTGTTCTCTATGTTTTAATTTTCATCGGATCGTCTGGTATTCCCGTGCGGTATACGCGCGCGGATGAGAAACGAACAAACATCAGATTTTCCTGAAAATAATATCACCCATGAACGTACAGGATGCGTTCCAGGATCACCGGATTTTCTTTCAATCGAGAGCTCTCCGGAAGAAGCCAAGATTGCCAAGAGTCTCAATCTTGAATTGCATCTTGAGATTCATCAATCTTCGCCGTTGCCCGCGCGTTCGAGCGCGAGCGCGTCTACGATCGACAATTTTTTCCTCCTCCGCGTCCGAATCAAGTTCGCCGACGCTTGATGCTGGACACGCCTCGAACGAGGATTCTACTTCCCGGACGATTTAACCTCATTACAAATCGTTTTCCGATTCTTAGCCGATTAAGAGCCATCGCACTCTTCCTATCGGATATGTTGACGTATAATCTGTATTTCAGTTCAGTCGGGGGCTCAATGAAAACTTCGTTTTCCCCCATGGCGAGAATTTCTCCCGCGGGCACATCGGCGACAAGTCCATTTACTGAAATTCAACAACGATTTCCCCTGCCCGGACTCCGTCGGCATCGTAAAATGCCAAGACAAAACTTGGAAATCAAGGATTTTAAAAGTCCCTCGACCGCTGTTCGGCAAAACCCGGCGTATATACCTATATGTAATGTTTTTAGATCAACCGAGCGTGAATTCCGGAAAGCTATACTATTTTCTGTTTTCGACTTGATTTATTCGAAGTCATGTCAAACGAGATACTTTTCTTTATAATTTTGTCAGAGCAACATACACGCACGTGCCTCGCGCACATACAAATAAGGGAATTTAATCTTTGAAAACATAATTTTTAAAGATCGGATTTCGCGCATCGTTAGTTACATTCTGCGGGATTCCGTTCGAGGAATCGCGGTTATTCCGAATGTGTAGCCGGTAGAAGTATCGTCCGTATCGAGTTATCGTCGTTGGCGGCTAAAAGAAAAAGGGCACAGCGCAGAAAAACGCGCGCGGGAGCAACGCCAAATCGAAGAGCAAATCGCGCGCGCAATTACTCGTCGTTGGGGGGATGATCGGATTTGCGTGCATTTGGACAGCGAATTTCGAGACGTGCGCACGTAACTCGCTCCATAAATTGCCAGTTCTGATTGGGATTTACGAGCGGAGGGCGCAAAGCACGCGCACGTTGCGGCCCTCTTTAAAACGAGAACCACGAAGTGCACCGCGAGTTCTCCAATCGAAATTTATGGCTGCGTATCTCGCGAAAGAAAATAAGAAAAATGAGTGGGCGAATCTCTCTCGCTGGCGGAAGGGGATTTCTACTGCGAGTTCGTGCGCTTTATGACAACACGAATGTTTCGATCCTTAATCTTTTCCGCGGTACTAATGTTATATGATTTATATACATTTTCGCGGCGCTCCTTCTACATACCATTCCACATTCATTTCCTTATATTTATATTATTTATAGAATCATTTTATCATATTGGAGGTAATAAAGATATTTGATTTATGAACTTAGTCTAATCGTCTTTGTATATTTATATTGTTACTTAGAATATTTTCTAGTTAAGTTGTGTACTTTAAGGAGATTAAAAGCTAATTTTTAAAAACCTTTTTGTTAAATAATTTGATTAAAGATAAAAAATTTTAGTAAAAGTTTTAATATTAATGACAATATTCCTTCTATAAAGACTAATAAAGATGCAAATAAAAAATGTATAACTCAAGAAACAAAAATCGAAAAAAAAATTAATTTTTTTATCTATAAGTCCTTCAGCAAATTCTAGTTGAATTATTTCCAACAAACATATCGCAATTATAAACTGTCGCAGATATAAGGATTTTCCTAAATTAATCCTCGTTGACGTGAACGGATAATAAAATAATTATTCGTTATTCAATCTCAAGCGGACTTTATTTCAATGGAATTATAATGAAGTCCTGAATTTACAAATTTCTCTGATATTTGTAAGTTAATTATTTGTAAATTTGATAATTTCTTCTCGGGTTTTCATCCAGGCTGCAGTGGAATGGAACGAAAACATTTCATTTTAAATAGTTTCTAATCCGCGCAGGATTTTCAATGAAAAGGCGGAAATTGCGCGACACATGGAGAGAAAGATTAATACGAGATTTGGGGAAAACTCCCGGCTTAATATAGACGGCATTCTGTATCTCGAGTTTTATCATTTAGGACTCTGTCCTAGCAGCGGATGGGATCACGTACTCAGATAATATGAGTCCAGATTTGCCGGACATATGTTTCAGGATCACTGCCAACTTGTGAGGAAGAACGTGAATCGCTGACAAAAAGATCATAGTGGAGGAACAGCGGGAAAATTTATGAGCGTCACGTGAACGTCGCGACTATCGATCACTAGATAAATTGAAATACCGAAAGGAAATATGATATATATTATATAACACAATACAAAATATAACATGAGAACTATAAATCTAGATATTCGAGGTAATTTATTAAAATAAGTGAAGTTTTAATTTCTTATATTAGTTCTTTTCGTACGATTAAATTGATTATAAAGTACATTAAAGTCGTGAAATTCATTGAATAAAGTCTCATGCCGCGCCTGCAACATAAGAGTCAAGACAATTCGCGGGTATAGCAGGATATCCCTCCGCAGGCGTTGGAACGTCACAGTAAGTTAAAGGTAAGTCGCAGCAGTTGTGTAATTCTATAAAGTATTTTAGAACTTAAATTTCCGTTATTGCGGATGACATCCGATATTTGCGCATGTCATTTTAATACAATATAATGATAATATTATCCGATCTCTCTTTAATCTCCGTATCCCTGAACCTTATCTATAACTGAAGCTCAACACAGAGAACCAACAATCCGAAAGCAGGGCGCGTTAATTAAAAATAAACACTCGACTACATCCAATTAATTAATTAATAAAACGGATTAAAATTTTTCGCAGGATTATGATAAGCGGCGTTTAAATAAGTTTTTTCTTTGTCTTATACAGACGCATAGAAGAAGTAATTTAATAAAAAAATTAGTATTTTTTTAAAATACTTTAGTCATATAAAAAATGTGTATAAATAATATCTATCCGTATGATACGGAGAATAAATTTTATTTGTTTTATGTGTTTGACTAAAGAACTAAAACATATTTTTATTCGATCTAATAACATTTTTCAAAAACTGTTTAGTTAATATTTGTGAAATAAAATATATTTTACAATATTCAGGTTTTATTTATGTATGTAAACGTGTAAATAATGATATACTTATTAACATAATAACGATAAAATTGACATATATTCGTATTTATAATAAAGTGATATGTGTAAATTGAAACCAGTCTGCAATATTGACTACAAAGTATTTACATTAATATTTTGGAAACGTATTGAATTATATACAGGGCACATATTATGAAACTTTTCGGAATGGATTCCGATCGGAATTGTTTAGTTATTTC